TCATGTTTATTATTGTATGTTTAAATTGATGTGTTAATTGTTTAAATTGATATGTTATGTTTATTATTATATGTATAATGCGGCATTGTATGCCATGGATCGTAAGCCGCCCCGAGTCCCCCACTGGGGTGAGAAGGAAGGGGTATAAATGTAGAATAATCATCATCATCATCATCATCATCATCAATGCTTAGTTGGATACTGCCCATAGGAACACCCATACCTCAACGTCACTGAAACGAGGTAGTACGGGCAAATCTGATAGATCCCATCCCAGGTGTAAATAAGTGCCTTCTGCCATTTCTGCATAAATCAGGAGGTCAGAAGAAAGTTTCCCCCCTCCCCTCTCCCCCCATCTCCATACTTTTAAAACAGTTCACAGATGAAATAACACAGGTGACAGGCCCATTCCGTCCATAAGAAGATACTGAGGCTGAAGTCTCTTCTAGCTTGTATGTTCTTCCTCATTAATAACCTTTACCATCTTGACCACATTCTGATGTTGCTTGGCTGTATCTATGAAGTGTTGGAGGCTATGCCTTGTTGGCAGGTGAGAGCTTTAAGTTAAAATATGTTGGTATATTAGGTGCTCCCTTTTGTCAAGAATGTTGTCCCATGAAATTTAGTTTGGCCTTCAGGTTGAAGGACAGCCCCAACCTTGTACTTAAATGATGAAAAAGACTGTCACAGAAGGTAGGGAGCGCTCACTCCTTAAAGATTTTGACTAACCATCAGGGATGTTATAGCACTGGTTTTCCTGAATAGGCAGTAAATTCTTAAGATTCTATTTTTTTGCATTTTACTCTAATCTACCTTCCCATAATAAAACTCATCATTTCTGTAAAAAAATGTATTAGAGAAAATGAAGGCTTATAATCTCTTTGAAACCTTTATTGTATTTATTCCATTCTTGTCCTAAGGATTTATGTTGTGCCACATGTGAAAGTGAAATATACAAATATATATATAGATTTAAATGGATGTTACTCTTCAGACTCCTGAATACACTTGACAAGAAGCAGAAAATTGGTGATGAGCAAAGTGCATCAATCAAAATGAATTATAAACCATATGAGCCATGAAATCTAATTTCAAAAATTGAAATGTGTATGAGCCAGTCTGTAGAAAGATCAAAATTCTTTATGTATATTTGAATTGTAAATATACTGACAAGAAATGATGTAAAATCAGAGATTCTTTTCAATACTTCACTGACATTTTGGTACCATCTTCTGAATGCAGCTTAAAATATACAAATCCTCACAGGAAATGTTAGAGATAAATGCTGACAATATAGGTGAGCATTAATGCTAAGATTCAGATATTAAGCAAATAAACATTCCTGAATTATCTCCCTCAACCCAAGCAGTAAATCCTATCAACTGAAATTAAACTCATTGCTTGTCTCTGGATTTCCACTTCTGAAAACTTAGGAATCAGCTTCCTTGGCAACATGAAAGGCTGCAGCGAGGCTACTGCTCCAACATAGGTAGGCAAGGGGCCAATTGACCAGAAAAAACTTGGTAATAGACAGGTTGGAGACCAGGTGGCAAGGTAATCTAGCTTAACTATTAAGTTCAACTTGTTTTTCAGAATGAAGAGCTGGCATAGAAGAAAAGGCTTCAATCTATGGTATAATGTTGGTTTTATCTTGAACAGGCATGGGTATCACACTGATCTTCAGAGGTTGTTGTACTGCAACTTCTTCATCCCCAGCCTTTGTTGTTGTTAACTACTTCCAAGTCAACTTCACTCAACCACATGAATGAACATTGCAGGTTTTCTCCTAATTTTTATCAAAATTTTGCTGGGGTTTGCTCTTTGCTAAGGTTCTTGGGTGATTCTGCAGATACCTAGAAAAATATGCACCGGGTTAGGCCCATGTTTCCTCTGTTATCTATTGTGTATGGCATTTGAATTCTTCTCATGTCTGAATATCATTAACATGCCTTTTCTTTCTCTCTTCCAAAAGAATGATGAGGAAGCTAAATGAGAGGGATTTCACAGCGATAACTGCTGCATCTCCCTGGATGTTTCCCACTAATTCAGCCACCTGCTGTGGGCCATTACTCTTCCGTTCAGTCTTCCAAACAGGCTTCAAAGTACAAAGCTGGCCAGCTAGGCAGGCCATTTTTAAAAATTAAATTTCCTTTGGACTGTAAATGATCTAATATGAACAGAGAAGAAGGCAAAATGGATTCTGTCTTTCCTTGCAACCATACAGGGAAAACACAGAACCACAAACCTTCCAGTCACAGATGAGCAGCCATATTAATCTACGAAGGCAGTGGAGCAAAATACAAAATAATCTGGAGGCTAGAAACGTTATATGAATAGTGTCTTGGAATAGGTACTCCTATGGTGGTATCTGCAGCAGATAGAAAAAAAACAGTTCAAATTAGTTTCATTATAACATTATAGTATTGTCAGGAATGACTTGAGAAACTGCAAGTTGCTTCTGGTGTGAGAGAATTGGCTGTCTGCAAGGACGTTGCCCAGGGGACGGCAGGATGTTTTGATGTTTTACCATCCTTGTGGGAGGCTTCTCTCATGTCCCTGCATGGGGAGCTGGAGCTGATAGAGGGAGCTCACCCACGCTCTCCCTGGATTCAAACCTTCAATCCTGCCAGCACAAGAGTTGAACCCACTGCACCACTGGGGGCTCCTAACATTATAGTATAATGCAATATAATACAATTTATATAAAAGATGGCATGACATAAAGGTTTGAGTGTTGACACTGGGAGGCCCCATGTTTTTCATTCGTTCAGTTGTCTCCGAGTCTTTGTGACCTCATGGACCAGTCCACGCCAGAGCTCCCTGTCGGCCGTCACCACCCCCAGCTCCTTCAAGGTCAATCCAGTCACTTCAAGGATGCCATCCATCCATCTTGTCCTTGGTCGGCCCCTCTTCCTTTTACCTTCCACTTTCCCCAGCATAATTGTCTTCTCTAGGCTTTGCTGTCTCCTCATGATGTGGCCAAAGTACTTCAAATTGTGTCTCTAGTATCCTTCCCTTCAATTAGCAGTTGGGCTTTATTTCCTGGAGGATGGACTGGTTGGATCTTCTCGCAGTCCAAGGCACTCTCAGAACTTTCCTCCAACACCACAGTTCAAAAGCATCTATCTTCCTTCGCTCAGCCTTCCCTAAGGTCCAGCTCTCACATCCGTAGGTAACTACAGGGAATACCATGGCTTTGACTAGGCGGATCTTTGTTGCCAGTGTGATGTCTCTACTCTTTACTATTTTATCGAGATTGGACATTGCTCTCTTCCCAAGAAGTAAGCGTCTTCTGATTTCCTGGCCACAGTCTGCATCTGCAGTAATCTTTGCACCTAGAAATACAAAGTCTGTCATGGCCTCCACGTTTTCTCCCTCTATTTCCCAGTTGTCAATCATTCTTGTTGCCATAATCTTGGTTTTTTTTTTACATTTAGCTACAACCCAGCTTTTGCGCTTTCTTCTTTCACCTTGATTAGAAGGCTCCTCAGCTCCTCCTCGCTTTCGGCCATCAGAGTGGTGTCATCTGGAAACCTACTGGTTGATTTTGAATCAATTATACTCTCTGCTGTTTCGATTGTAATTTTCTTTATGTATTGGGAGTTTTTTTATTTGTTGCTTTTTTATTTGTTGTAATGGTAGAGATAATGGGAATGTATTTTGATCCCCTCATCCCTAAAAATGTTTGCATCTTTGTTGCAGTAATACAGACTGTTAGACGAGAATGCTTTAGAGGCAATTATATAAAGCCTCTATAGTTAGAGGCGGCCCTTTTCTGTTTGGAAGCTGGGAATCCAGCAGCCAGTAATTTAGAGTTACATGCAACTAATAATTCATTAAAATCGAAAGCTCAAATTATATTTTGCCTCACATGATTTTTTTTCCTCTTTGCTTTCACTGGGATTATACACATCTCTTCATAAACAAGATTTATTTTTTTTGCAGTCATATATTTAATACTTCCAAGGAGATGAGAAAAGGCATAGAAATAAAGAATCAAACTGGGTTTGGAGGGAATATGGAAGGTAAGCAAGCTGATGCTGCCTGCTATATCAAAGGCAAGTGCAGGGATCAAAGGTCATAAAGCTTTTTTATTTTTGAAGCCATGATGCCGTGTCCCTTTAAAGTAGGGTTGGAGTTGGCTAGTTCCAAGCTCTGATTGGACAGACTGATGCCTGTCTTTGA